GGAACTGGAGACTTGTTTAGATGGCTCTACAGTTAAGGTGAATGTATTCACTCAATCTCTGTTCAGTTTGCATATATTTTTATTTTAATACTGATTTTTCTATTTTTAAATGTATTTTTACTATTGTATGCCATCCAGAATCACTTTTTATGAGGTGAAATTAGATTTTAAGGAGACAATAACAAAGTGGCAGATGATCCTAATCAGAGGGAAAAGATGACCTTGGTGCTCTCTGAGTTTGAGCACTGAGGACCCCTCATTTCAACCCCAAGCTAAAAATATTTTTTTTTCCTTTAGAGGGAAAAGAGCAGCTTGAAACAGCCAATAAGCCTGGCTCGGATTTCACTCACAATTAGTCACCCATCTCCACCTCTGATACAATGGGTGTTAAAGCATAAGACAGTGGAAAAAGATGATGCTCATATTTATATAGGATTAGGATGCAAGTGGGGAAAGGGCTGGGATAGGTATGTAGTGAAGAAAAAAAGTTTTCTTTCAAGCTCAGTCTAAACTTCCATGTTCCTGAAGTTTGACTAAATGATTGAATCAGCTGAACTTTAGCAGAAATATGTCTGGATCATTTTGGGTGTTCCAAGTTTAGGCAAAAATCTAATCCAAAGGAATATGAGCAATTTTAAAGAGTAAAACTACCCTGGTGCACTTACTTGTTCTGTCATATTTCTCCATATGGCTTTTCCTTCCTTCTTTCATCACCAACCACAGGTGCTGACAAAGCCCATCCCCAGCCCAAGTGCCTTCTCTTAACTACCAATACCAAAGTGCATATAAGTTGTCCCCAAGGCCAGGCTCTTTTCCACTCTTATAACCACTTGCATCACTTCTGCCCAGGACTATCATGTTTCAATTCATATTCAGAACAAAACCTGTTCTGTTTACAGATCAAACATACATAATACAGACTATCTGAAATCAGTTGTCCCATGCCCAAAACTCTTTGCAAATCCCTAATGATAATGTAGGGGAAATTATGCAAAAATGAATTAGGAAGCACCTGGTTTACACAAAGAGACTACAAATCACTGAAGGGAGAGAGTGGTAAACAGACCTCAATTTGCATTAGATATCAACTTTTTAATGTCACGCAGAGTCCTGGAACATGAATAAAGATGAGGTGAACCAGTATGTATGACAGAAGCAGCTTCATAATTAACTTCTGCACTAGACCTGTGGTGAATGGGTGACTTGTTACAGGAGAGTGAGGTACAGTATCCAAATGACCTCTGGTGAGGAAGCAAGATCATAGTAAATGCCCACAGACACCAGGTGCTCACATATCATTGGATAATCAGAACACTGACTTCATTACAGAGCCCTGTGGGAAGCTTTGCACATTTCAAAAGCCCAGTTTCACTTTATAAAATACAGGATACAGTTGCAAGGGATGTAACAAAAAGCTTGCACAGCCGTACTTAGGTCTTTATGCAAGTTCACACTAAAGAGCTTTGCAGGCAGCAATGACCTACCTTTTATAGAATTTGATCCCAGATTTGATTGCATTGTCATCTTATAAACCTACTCCAGAGCATCCCTGTGTCTGGAAGAAACAGAGAGACACGCACACACCTTTGGCAGACAGAGTAACATAAAACTATAACTGTTTTAAACTACCCCAAATCAAAATCCATTAGGAATAATTAACATCAAGAAAAGATAAAGGGCTTGTTCTCAGTTCACCTTATTAGTCAATGACCCTGTAATCCAGCAAGGTAGTTTCCATTTGTTGCTGCAAAAAGATACCTTTTGCCTAAATCTAGAAGAAATTAAGTAAGCACGAAATGAAACACTTGTCCGACATTACAAATTTTAAAAACTGTCGGGTATTTTGAGTTTTTATTTAACATATTAGGAATATTTTCAGAATTTAAGGAAAGTTGAAAGAGGTCTATCCCGTTTTAAATTTAAATAATTCTCTTCCTAATTCAAGTAGTCCAGTCAGACTCAGACTTAAACCTAAAATACCCTACAACAGCACCTTCTATAAACTCAATCCAACTAGTTAAACCGTTTCATGAGTACCATACCCAGTACCGTGTGCGCACGCGCGTCCATGTTACCTCCTTGAAGTCCCATAATTTTAACCCTTTCATAAACGGCTTGCCCCTTGTCTATTTGCGAAGGCTGATTGGCCCAACGCCTCCCACCTACCTTCGTACCTAACCGGGATTAGAACTCACGATCCCGGTACTTTAATCATTCCATTAAACTACGCTTTACTTTAGTCAATATAACAGTACACGTATATGGCTGCCATACACGTGGCAGTTTTCAAAGCAACTAACTTGAATTAAAAGACTCTCAGCTCTTTCCGAGACGAAGGTGGCGGCTCTTAAAAGAGCCTTTGGGTATCGTGTTATTTTCCGGGAGAGGCCGAAACTGGAGGAGCGCGGACTTAAGCTCTCTCCCCGCGGATGCGCCGCGCCAGCTGAATGTCCTTCGGCATGATGGTCACCCTCTTGGCGTGAATGGCGCACAGATTCGTGTCCTCGAACAGCCCCACCAAGTACGCT